GGAAAAAAAGACTTTTTAGTAAAAAAAAGGCGGGGGCAATTTTGGTGGCCCTGGAGGTAACCCGGGGATTCGTTTAGGGTGAGGGTGTGTGTAAGTGGGGAAAATTCTAGAAAAAGAACTGCGGCATCAGGATAGACGAGGGGGATTACCCGGGGGAGAGGCGGGGAAAAAAGCATGGGGAGCGGTTTTTGGAGGGCCCAGGGCCCCATAGTGGTTGAGGGGGCGCCGAGTTGCAAGGGGGGAGAGGGGGGGGGGGGGTTTATGCCCCAGGATAACTCGAGTGGTAAGGGGAAAACGTAATGTTTTAAAGTGCAGGAGTAAATTTCCCGCGGAATAGGGGAAAAACCCCCACTTTATAAAATTTTTGAAGGTTTACGCTTAATGTCCAAAAGGACTTAAGACTGAGGTTAAAAAAAGTTTTGGGTTTGGGGTGGGTTTTTACCCGGCCCGGTTTTTTGTAGATATTTGCTTTTTGCAAGAGCATAATTTATAGGGCTGGGTTTTGTGTTTTCGGTTTAAAAGGATATCGGAAAGTATGTTACCCCCGGTTTGCAATTGAAAGGGGGGGTTGCAGTTGGGGATAAAGGGGGACCAGCCTTTGCGTGTCATTTGGCTGGGAAGGGGGGGGGGGGTGGGAAAGGGGCGTGGGGTGGATGGTGTTGGGGGGAGAGTTTTGAGCAAATTTTGTAGGAGTTTTCCCTGCCGCAACTGCAATACCGGGGTTTTAAAAATTTGAAATTTTTTTTTAGAGAGGTATTGCTGTATCACTTGAGGGGGTTTGCTGCAAAAACGTAATTTGGTGGGGGGAAATTTGGGAAAGGGGGTGGGTTAGGAGTGGTGATGTCGAAAAAGAGAGGGGCGGGGGTTTTGGCCCGGTGTGTGAGGGATGGGTTTTCGGATATTTGGGTTTTTGATGTGGTGGGGAGGGGGGGGGGAAACCCAGTGGGGGCACACGTTCTTTGTAGGGGGTATGAAAACGCGATTGGACAGAATTTATATTAAGCAGGGGATAGATTTTTGAGGGTTTCAAACCTTCGATGTGGGGGGGTTTTTGGATCACAGGGCGGTAATAGCAGGGTTTTTATGTGGAATGGAGTGGTGCGTTTTTTATTTGGGTATGGAAATTAAAAGTAAGGGCCCTTTTTAAGGGGGGGAAAGGGGGGGGCCTTTTTTCAGTGATTGGTGGGGTTTCCTTTTTGGGGGGGCAAGGGGACAGGGAGATGATCTTTTTTGATTGGTGGGAAAAAAAAGGCAAAACCGGGAATTTGCGAAAATTTTTTTTGGGTTAGGGGACCCGGGAAAAGGCATTGGGGGCGGGTTTTTGGGGTTTCAAAATTTTTTCTGGAGGGGGCAGTTGCAAGATTGTTTGTTTTGGGGGAGGTGGGGAGGAGGGATTGGACATGGACATCTGCGGAGCAGGATCGCTGAATTACAAAATGATAGGTTTGATGAAATTAGGGTTAGGGGGGTTAGGGTGTATTGTGGGGTGATAAGCCGTCTGGGTTTGTTTTCCGTAAATTTGGGACCGACAGAGTGTAACCACCATTCTACAATTGGGAAAAGCCCTGGGGGGGGGGGTTTTCCCAGGGGGGTCGGAGCCCTACCCAAATACGGAAAGTATGAGTCCTAGCTGATGTTTTTTTGGGGAGAAAGGGAGTTGGAGGGGGGGGGGGGGCCCTGGGAGGGTTTTTTTGAAGGGGGGTTCCATTGCGTTTTGTGAGCAGGTAGAGTGGGGTTGGAGGTTGGAAAAGTGGGTTGAGGTGGAAAGAGGCAGTTTTCGGTATGAGTCCCGGGGGAAAACCCCAGGGATAGACGGTTTATCCCAAAATGATTTTTTAGAGCACATTGGGGGGGTTTATTGGGAGGGTTTGTTGGCTATTGGGATCATATGTTAACTAGTGGGAAGTTGGACATCGCAAGTACGGGTGTCATAGTTTTTTGGTGCCAAAAAAGAGGGGAGAAGAGAGTTGAGTGCTTACGGCAATATCTTTGATGTGTGCTGATTAAAAGGTTTTTGCGAAAATTTTGGGTAATAGACTGAAGAAGGTCATGGGGTGGGTTTGATACATGGGGGACAATTTGGGTATCCCGGGGAGGAGTATGGGGTAGGTCATGGACGTATTGGGATTTCCTTGAGGGGGTAGTAGTAAGGGAGGTATTCTAGGTCTGGATTGGGAGAAAACTTATGATTATGTGGATAGGGAATTTTGTTTGAGAGTATGGTGAGAATGGGTTTTGGAGGGGGGTGGTTGGATGGGTGAGGACATTTGTATGAGAATGCATCGATGAGAGTACAGGTAAAGGGGAGGTTGGGTAGTTCAGTAAGCATGGGGAGGGGTTTAAGGCAGGGTGTCCACTCTCCCAAAATACTTTTGCATGTATGCAATCCTTTCTATGTTCGGTTGATGGTGGGATGGGAAGGAGGGGGGAGAGAGGGTGGATTTTGTGGGAATATTGTTGGTTATGTAGATGATACAACTGTTTTACTTAATGAGATAGAAGATTTAAGTAAAGTGGGAGGGTAATTGAGATTTTTGGGAATGCTACGGGGGATGGAGTTAATAAGCAGAAATCACGGTTGCTGGAGGTAGGCAATTGGGTAGGAGGGACCTTGGGGGGAGGAGTTTGGATGGATAACTGTAGATAGGCAAAAGATTTGTGGGATTTTGTATTTAACAGATGTACAGGAGGCAGGAGGGTTTAATTCAGAAATGGTAATGGACAGAGCTTTGAGTAGTTTCAGGGTCTAAGGGCCGGGGATGTAACCTTGCATCAAAGGGTTGTGGTGGTAAATACGCTGTTTTTATAGTAAGTGTGGGGAGTGGCGGAAATTTACCCCTTAAGAAGTCAGGATATTATGGAATTACAAGAAGGCCTTAAGGTATGTGTGGGGTTTTGGGAGGGCGTGGTTGGGGTAAAGATGTGGTAATGACTGCGGTTAGACAGGGAGGATTGGGGTTGATGGCATTAGGGTCTAGGGTGAAGGCGTATATGTGAAAGCAGAGGTATATTCGGGCAGCGGGGGAAAAAGGGGGCTTCGGGTGGGGGAGGTGATGGGGGATATCCGCAAATGGTGGGGTGGCAGGGACTTAGTGGAGTGTGGGAAAATATGTTGCGGTTTTTTGTTAAAGGTCTGCCAATGTTAAAAACTCAAGGTAAAAAACGGTTTAGTGGGTGTGGGTCGTCGTCAGGAATCAATGCAAGGGATGGCGTGTATCCCACATATGATTGGAGAGTGATATGGGGGAATTTAGTAAATTAAAAATACCGGCAAGAGCGAGGGAATTAGTATATAGATTTTTTATGGGGGCGTTAGCATCGAAAGAGGTGCTAAGACGAATGGGTTTTGTGAGAGAGGCATCATGTGGTTTTTGTGGGGGGAAGTTGAAACGGCTTTTCATGTAGTATATTTTTGTTCTGCTTTGGAGGTGGTAAGATTGTGGTTGAAGAGGGTTTTTTTTTATTTGGGGGGGGGACAGATATCAACCCTCAGGGCTTTAATGTTAGATATGGGAGGGGTACCCAAAGAGGTGGGAGGGCTATCAGATACGTAATAGTTGATTACTTGTATGTTTCTTGGGGGATGAGGGAGGTGGAGGGAAACATTAGGATAAAGCGTTGGCGGCGTTTTTTTTATAGGACAGCATGTTTGGAAAAACAATTATATGGGGGAAGGTGGGCAATTTTGTTTTCCGGAGGGATATCGTGAATTACTGTTGA